CCCCCCCCTCCGTTCATCTTCTCGCCAAAGACTTCCCATCCCTAGATGTTTGTCCAAGACAATTCCGCTTACAAATAACGCTCGTTCGAGGATTCGCTTAGCTCTTTCGCGTAAAAATCCATTTTCATCATATTTCTTGAAACAACAAATGAAAACGGTGAAAAGTTGATTTTCAATGTTTTTTTGACCTTTGAATTCTCTACAATCCCCCTCTATATGGTCACCCAATAGTCCTCAGATCTGAAGTCTCCTCATCGAGTTATCTGTAGAAATATCTTTTCCGAGAAATTAATTTTCGATGTTCTTTTGACCTTTCACCCACCCACCCCTACTCACGGTCACCCAATAGTCCTCAGATTCGCACTCCCCGCAGCGAAATAACGCTACAAATGTCTTTTCCGAGAAATTAATTTTCAATGTTCTTTTGACCTCTCACCCACACCCACCCACCTCTCCACACAGTCAAGCAATAGTCCTCAGATTCGAACTCCCCGCATCGAAATAACTCTACCGATGTCTTTTCCGAGAACTTAGTTTTCGATGTTCTTTTGACCCTGGCACAGACAAACAAACGCATTTTCGTTTTTTCGTTTTTTTCGTATCACCCTCCTTTCAGTCGAGGGAATTTCTCATAGTCAATCTTAAATTAATTTGTTTCAATTTTTAGATTTTAACTATCATAATTATTTTCATTCTATTGAAAGAAATTACAGGCTGATTTTTTTATTAAAGAAAGATTTTACTAAAGAAAGATTATCAAATTTATTATTAATTTTCTAAAATTTCTTACTTAGTAGCGAGTAAATCTCCACCAAGTTTTCTGGAAGATTTATCTCGAAAGAAACTTTATTATTTGTGTATATCATCAAGTTGAGAGACATACACATTTCTCACTAAGGACTACAAGTCATATCTATTATATTTATATAAATACGTACTTGATTTGAATGCAAAATTGTGATTATTTAAGATTTTAGCGTGTAATTTAATCTCATATTATTTCAGTATTTATTACCGGAAAAATATTCACCTGCTTCAAACGTAAAATCACGAAAGCAAGCCTATAAACAGCAACTAATTACTTACGTTTATTAATTGTAACACAGATTACTGGATTTCTTATTGAGATCTATCAATTTAAACAATAATTAGTAGATCTATCTTGATCATTTAGGCAAATAAATCATAAATTAATCTTGACTATTTAACAAAATAAATAGCATATTAATCTTGATTATTTGAAAGACCAGCTATTATTAAATTAATTTTGATCATTCAAAGGAATAAATCATAAATCAATCTTGATTATTTAACGAAATAAATAGTTCATTCATCTTGATCATACAAGAAAACAATTAGTGAATTTGTTATTGAGCTTTTAATCTTTGAACTAGTTAAAAAGATGCCCAAAATAAAGAGAAGATCCGTATCACATAGAAATGTCGAGATGGCCAAAAGAATGAGAGAGAGGAGAACTGATGATGAGTTTCGATTGTTAGACAATAAACGACGAGCAATTGCTCATAAAAGTGAACGTAAAAATCATGAATTTAAAACAGAAGAAAATAAAAGAAGAACTGAAGCTCTTAGAATTGAACGGCAAAACGAAGAGTTCAGAGCTGAGGACAATGAACGAAGAGCCGATGCTCATAAAATTGAACGACAAAACGAAGAGCTCAGAGCTCAGGAAAATGAAAGACGATTGAAGTCGGTTAAAGTTAAACGTGAAGAGGAAGATTACAAAGAGGAAGAAAGAAGAAGAAATGCATTAAGAATGCATAATACTAGAGATAAATATAAAAATAATTTCGATGCCATGAAATCAAATTATGAGTCAAAAATTAAAGAAGGGCCTACTCATGTTTGTAGTTGTTGTGGTGGTTTATGGTTTGCATATTCTATCAGAGAATATACAGTTGAGATGTTAGTAAAGAAAGGATTAAAAAAAGAATTTATCGATACAGTTTGTTATCTAAAACATGAAATTATCGAATTATGCGCTACTTGTCGAAAGGACATCATGTCGAATAAAATACCTAATCTTGCTCTATCGAATGGTTTAGCATTCTATGAAATACCGGATTGCTTGAAAATCTTGACTGAATCAGAAGAAAGATTGATATCGCCAAGAATTCCTTTTATGATAATTCGAACGTTAGGCTTTTCTAAACAATTTGGTCTCAAAGGTAATTTAGTAAATGTTCCGATGAATGTTGACACGAATGTTTCAATATTACCTTGAAGTTTTAGTGATACTTGCATAATTCAATTGAAAGTGATGAGACAAATGAAAAAGAAAAATGCTTTTATGTATGAAACAATTCGGCCAAAAGTCGTACATACAGCTGTTAAATATCTTGTTGAATAGGAACTATATAAAGATGAAGGTATTGTTATATCTAATGACTAGATTAAGGAATATCCAAATGAAAAAGAAAATTTCATAGTCCAAAACGAAGATAAAAAGTTTAATCCGACTGAAACTACGGAAGAAGATTCCGATCATGACGATAATTGGAATGAAAGTGATG